CTGGTTTAGGGGGTGGGGGTGAAGGGGCCTCCGGGTAATGAAAATATATGAATGGGAATATGTATCTGTATATACACATTTACATACATACATATACATGTGTATACATTTTTATATACAGATGACTGGGCCGTGGTATTTATACATTTATACATCTATAGATTAGCTGTGGTTTTCCGATGGTTGCTCCGCTGGTTGTTTCGATGGTTGTCCCGATGGTTGGCCTGAAGGTTGTTCCGGTGGTAGAAGTAATGGTTGCTAGTGGGATGCGTAAACAAATTGTGCTTACAATGTCTCTCTCTCTCTCTTTCTGTGTATTTGTGTGTATACACAGATATGTCCATATGTGTAAACGCACAGACATTGTTAGCGTGACCAATATACATACATAGATGTACACATCGGGGGTCTCATGCATGGCTAGTGGGATCATTTGGAGGATAGTTCGGCCGAACGTTATGTAGATGGTGTGATCAATCGTTATATGTGGCACGACCAGTAGAACACAAACATTCCGTATACACAAAGAGATGTAGATAGCAGTTGCGATGCATCGTTTATTGCTAACCTCAAATCGGTGAATATATAGGCCGATCAAGGCTGGTCGATGGATGGAGGCGGTTGTCCCGATGGTTTTCCGCAGTTTGTTTTCCTCCAACCGCCATGTTGGCGTTTGGCTGGTGTTGTACGTATACAATGGTATCGACGGATCGATCGTAGGATCGATAGATCGACAGTGGCAGTGGTAGATAGATAACGAAATCGCCAGGTAGATATATAGTCATATTTGTATTATCGAAGGCGCCTGCGGCGGATCACCACCGCCCCCTGCCTTTTTGAAAAGCGCCTTTGTGGCCACACGGTTGGGTCCAGAGTTTGGATCAGTTATCGGACCAGGTGTTCCCCGAACCGCAGTGGACACCTTTCGGGGGACACTTGGAGGAACATGAGGCGGAGTATCAGGAGAGGGAGGAGGATGACGATTAGGAGGAGGATGAGGCGGAGGAGGAGGAGGAGGAAGAGTAGGAGGAGAAGGAGGAGGGGGAGGAGGAGGAAGAGGAGAAGGAAAAGGAGGCCTCGTCGGAGCCTGTTGAGCCACCTCCTACTACAGCTAGTAGTCGCATCATTCTCACACGCCATACACGCGCACCCTCCGGGCAGTGCCACGGCACACACCCACTGGGACACGTGTGGTACGCGCACCGTCTGGAAAGTGCTTCGCACGCACGAATTGGGACATGTGTGCGTATCATTACACGCGCATCCTTTAGGACGTTCTCCGGCATGCATCCACTGGGACATATGTAACAGTAGTACTCGTAATGTGAGTTGTGGGCTCCTTTAGGGCTTCTTTGTGGCCTCCTTGTCCGTCGGAGGGGCTTTCCTGGCTCGTCTGACGTCGTAGCCTTCGGGGGGTCTCTCTGAACCGACTTGGGGCCCCCTTGGGGCGCTTCATGGCCGTTCTGGAGAGGATTGCGGCTGTCGTGGAGGCCTCAGGGGCTTTATGTTTGGCCGTCTTCGGGTGTTTTTGGCCGTGTCACGCCGTCGGACGGTGTCTTGGGCGATCGAAGGGACAAAAATCTATAATAGTAATAGTCCGAAGAGCAATCAGAACAAATAGGCATGGGCTCGTAAAGTTCCCTTTGAGGTTATCTCAGAGGTTCGGACTCTCGAGCCGTTTCGATTAATTTTGGGGCCGTTTTGGGCCACGGTCTGGCCGCGTGAGGCCGTCGTCCATTCGCGCTAGGCCGTTTTTGGGAACGCATTGGTTATCCGCCAAAGTTTGTGCGCTTGATCTTGAAGATTTCGCTGGCACTTGTTCCCCGAAGCTGTTTATTCACCAGTTGGGGAAAGCTCGCGTCGGAGCGTTCTTCTATGGGCTCGCCTAACATAAACACTGGTCGTACCACGCAAAAAACCCGCACAAACAAATCATTACATAGTAGACCATATTTGCGACCATTGATGCTCAGAGGGCTTTTAGGCCCAGCAGCCGTCGTGGGTCATCGTCCATACGTCCTTGGCTGTCTTGGGGTCCCCATGTGTCTCCTTCGAAGCCGGCTTGCTTGACGTTGAATCGTTCCTCTCGGGCTTGTTCCCCGAATATGCCTATACATGATTCATGGAACGCGCTTGGGATAGTTGTCGTAGCCTTGTCGGCGAGAGCGCTTTGCTGACGTGCCTTGCTTTCGCTGCCTTTTCTGACTCATGTCCGCCTGTAGCTGAATGCGGGTTTCCGTTCTCTTGAGCCTGAAGTGCACGATATCAGCAAACACGATCCTATTCCGAGGCAGTGCATGGCCGTGCCTAGCCTGTCCGCAGTCCCGCTTGGACGCCCAGTGGAGCGTCTGCGCGGGGCTCTCGTAGGGCACGCGTGGAGCTTGGATACGCAGTTGGGCAAGGTGTTCCCCGAGCCGTCGTAGAAACCTTTCGGGGGACACATGGGCGCGACAGAACAGGTGAAGCAGCAGAAGCAGGACAGTACGAATCGCAACGAGACGACGAAGAGGAAACGAGAACTTTGAGGCTTTGCCTGAAGGGTTGTCTCGGAGGTCTCGCAGATCGGCGTGCAGAATTACTGGAGGCATCTTGGAGGCCTCTGGGGGTGTTTTGGGCATTGCGTGGCCCTCTTCTGGAGATTGCCTGGGTTGCGGGTAGCGGGTGAGAATGGAGCTTATTCTGAGCCTCATGGGGGGGGTCTTCTGCCTGGGTCGTGGGTTGTGGGCGAGAATTCGCATGGATGTTTCGGTGGGCTCTCGAAGGCTTCTTAGGGGCAGTTTTGAGGCTTCGTGGGGGGTTCTTGGGGGCCTCTTTGAGGCCTCGTGAAGCTTCCTCAGGGCCTTTGGGGGGCCTCTTGGGGCCTCTTTGTGCTTTCTTGGGGGCCTTTGCGGGCTTCCTTGGGGCGTCTTGGGGCCGCGCGCTCGCAATACCCGTGTGTGCGTACCTTCTGGAGCCTCTCTTGGGGGTGTCTTGATGTGTGTGCAAAGTCAGAGCATTAAATTGGTCATCAGCCTCGCCCTTTAATTGGCAGTTATGATCAACCGAAGATCTTCCTTTCTCTCCGCTTCTGCTCCTCGGTGCGCCGCTCGCGCTCCCCACCCGCTCTTATCCTTCGCACCTCTTTTCTATCCTTAGCCACTCCCTGCCACCATTATCCGTCATCCGGTTGGCCCCAGAGGTGGCCCTCGAGGCTTTGGTATCAGACCTCCCCTCCTCTCTTCTTCGTCCTCCCTCCCCCTGCGTGACTGTCCAGACCGTTGCGGCACATGCACGAAAAATACAAGCAATGCAACACAACACAAAACAACATAACAAGACACACAACACACCTACACAAACACAAACAAGTAGCGGACGGAACATACAAAAAACAAAACGCATGAAAACCACACACGCACACAAGCATGACTGAATTATGGCTCTGACTTTGCACACACCGATTGGCTGTTTTGGGGGCCTCCTGGGCTGTCTTGGGGCTCCAATTGGGCCTTTTGGGGGCCCCTTTTGGAGCCATTTGGGCCGTCTTGCGACGATCTTCGGGACCTCTTAGGGCAATCTTGCGAGTCTTCTGGGCTTCTTGGCACCGTGAAAGTGCAAAAGGCACATTTGCTGAACATGCATTTTCCCATGGGGACGGGGCGATGTTTTGTTTCTTGGGGCCTTTCTGGAAGAGTTCTTGGAACCTCTTGAGGCGTCTTGTGGGCCCTTTGAGCCGCTTTGGGGCCACAGTGGGGCCGTTTTGGGGCCACAGTGGGTCATCTCGAAGCTGATTTGGACCGTTCGGGGGATTTGTATAGCCATCTGAGGCGATTTGGGAAACGCTCTCGATGGTTCGGGAGGTCGTCTGAGGCTGGCTGAGCAGCTGCCAGGCGCTCTCAAAAGCAGCTGGGAATCTTGGGATCCAGGCCCTTAAGAACCAACCTTTCAGCCCCTCTATCTCTCAGGGCTGCAGGGTTCCATGAGCCTTCGGGCGCTCCACTGCGTGCTGAAGACACGGTGGCGGATTACATCACTTGTTGCACATTGCAAACGTTGACATATAGTAGGATCGATATACCGATAGTCCTGTGTATGTTGTTTGGTGGATGGAAACCGTTGTCCCGATGCTTGTCCCGTGGTTCGTTCCACCCTCCTGATCTTCCCGGAAAGGGCAAGGACGAGGATAATCCGTCCCAGAGCGTTCCGGGTCGCTCTCAGAGCGTTCCAGAACGCCTTGAGAAGGCCGCGGCGCCCGATGCATCCTCCAGAGCCGCCGATCTCAGAGACTTTGGATTTATCCTTCATCTGATTTTACCCTCGTCCAGGCTCCGTCTTACTTTTTGTCGGTATTTGTCGGTCTTATGGGTATCGACTATTGTTTGTTACAAATGCGGAATACGCGGGGAGGGCGGGACACTTCCAAGACGTAGTCGAGGGAGAGAGAGGAGGGTAGTGCGTATATTCACTAATTCTACACAAACAGGAGGAGGGGAGGAGGGGATGGACGAGGAGGCGTAGGACGAAGGGGGAGCAGGAGGGGATGAGACGGAGCAGGAGGAGGATGGGGAGCAGGAGGAGGGGGACGTGAGGAGGTGGAGCTGGATGAGGGGACAAAGAGGGGATGGGGGGGGAGCAGGAGGAGGCGTAGGAGGAGGCATAGGAGGAGGAGGAGGAGGAGGAGGAGGAGGAGGAGGAGGGAGGAGGAGGAGGAGGAGGAGGAGGAAGAAGAGAAGGAGGAGGAGGAGGAGGAGAAGGAGGAGGAGGAGGAGGAGGAGGAGGAGGAGGGGGACCACTGGGCAGATTGTACGCTCTGTGTGTGTGAGGAAGTTTCTGACCGTAGAGCGTTATGTTCTGAGCGAGCTGGAAGGATATCGAGTGCCAGTTTCCGCGAATATAAGCAGCTTCGTTTCCGATGTCTAGCAGATTCGTCGATGTATCACACTGCGTTGCAGTAGGTAGTCCGACGGTGTGGGATCAACAGCGCGTGTACTTTTGTTTGGATGCAAATTGACCTCGCGCAGGCGTCTTGTCTCGGTGGCGGCGTTCGAGAACGAGCTGGGCGTGCAGGCGCCCGTGGGCTACTGGGACCCGCTGGGCTTCGCGGCGGACGGTGATGTGGACGCCTTCAAGCGCCGGCGCGAGGTTGAGCTCAAGCATGGCCGCGTGTCCATGTTCGCCACCATGGGTTACATCGTGCCAGAGTATGTCAAGTTCCCTGGATACCTGTCCCCGTCGGCGAGGATCAGCTTCGATGACGTGCCCAATGGCCTAGGTGCCCTCGGCAAGGTGCCCTTCCTCGGCTGGGCCCAGATCATTTTGTTCTGCGGCCTGATCGACTTCGGCCTCTACAGGGCAGACCCGTCCCGGGACCCCGGCGACTACGAGAACGCAGGCATCCTTGGCGTCCCGAACGCCAGCGGCCCGATGAGCGACGCTGAGGGCAGGAAGAAGAAGCTGAATGCCGAGCTGGCAAACGGTCGTCTGGCCATGGTGGCCATCATGGGCATGATGTTCCAGAACGGCACCGTCGGAAGCGCTGGCCCTGCCATGTGGGCGTTCGGATCCTCCGCCTTCGAGAACGAGCTGGGCGTGCAGGCGCCCGTGGGCTACTGGGACCCGCTGGGCCTCAGCCAGGACGGGGACGTCGCCACGTTCAAGAGGCGGAGGGAGACGGAGCTCAAGCATGGCCGCGTGTCCATGTACGCCACCATGGGCTACATCATGCCAGAGTTCTATCCGAGATGCTCGCGCCGTTCTCTCACCCTCCCAGTGATTAGGGGCTTTGGGGGGCAGAGGAGGGAAGGGGAGGCCCCCAACGGTGTCCCAGGCTGCTCGCCCCCTGCCCCCCCAGGGATGCCAACGTGGAGGAGGAGGAGGAGGAGGAGGAGGAAGAGGATGAGGACGAGGTGGACGAGGAGGAGGAGCAGCAGAAGAACGATGATGTAGAGAGGGATGGGGAGGAAGAGGGGGAGAGGCAGGTTGCCAGGAGGAGTGGTGAGGGAGATGAGGGGCAATGAGGGCATAAGGCTCGACCGGGCAGCCATTCTCCTTAACGCTGACATTGCCAGCGCAATAATGGTGTAGTTACTGGACTGGGCCGCGCGTTGCAATGTAACGGAGGAGGTGGATGAGGAAAAGCAACAGGATGAGGGTGAAAAGAGGAGGTGGATGAGTACCAGGAGGAGGGGTGACGGAGGTGAGCTGTCAGGTTGGCGTGAGTCTCGAATTTCCAGCCGGCGAGACGAGAAGAGACGAGAAGCTGGACGTTTGATTGGTTGGCGAATCCCAGCCGCTCCACGAGGTAGCCGCAGAGTGGGAAATCACGGCGGGCCTCGCGGGGGTGGCAAGTGCCAATGCCGCCCCGGACCCTGACCCCCAGACGGCCTCGGAGGCCCCTGGAGGCCCCCAAGAAGCACTCGGGGGCGGCCAGGGGGAGGGTGGTGTCAAGCGGGGGCATGATGGCAGGCCATGACATCTCCCCGGACTTTCATGGGCCCTTCCCTCCTTGCTTCAACGCGCTCCCCAGTCTCCCCCCTTGGGGCCGCGCCCGTGCCTCGGGCCATGAGCTGCGCAGCCCCCTCTCGGACGCCCCTGACCTGCAGGCCCCCATGGGGCCCCCGAGAATGACCAAACACGCACCTGGGACGGGGCGGACATGGTGAGCGTTGCTTTACTCATTGTTTTGCCGATCGGCGCGGGCCCTCGCCCCCCCCCCCTCCCCCCCCTACGGAGTAGATCTTGGTTGCTTTTGGCGCAAATGTCAAGCATGTGGAGTCTCCCCCATAGGACGCACTGTTGCAGACAGACGCACTGAGCAGAGGTCCGGAGCGAGACCCCTCCCCCTTGCCCCCCCCTTCCGCCCAATGCCGACGCGCCGAAGAAGAACATGCCCACGAGCACAAGATGGCCCCAAGACGGCCCAGAAAGCTCTAAGACGACCCCAAGAGGCCCCACGACGGCCCCCAGCCCCCCCCCCCTTCCGCCCAATGCCCACACGCCGAAGAAGAACACACCCACATGGGGCACGGGCACATCTGGGCCAAGGCGGGCGCCCGGCGGGGTAGTCGCAGGGCCCAGACGCCCGCATGCAGAAAGAGAGGGCGCCTGGAGCGCCCCAGCTTTGTGGAGGGCGATCAATGGAGAGGAAGCATGTTGCCAAATTATGTCCATGTGTCTAAAGCATATGTTCAACATGTTTTAAACATGGAAAAACATGTTTCACACATGTTTAGAACATGTCTCCGACATGTTAAACACATGCTAAATTCGATGATGGGACTGCTAGGGTGTCCGCTGTCGTGGCATCCGCAACTCTAGCTCGACCCTCCACAGGGGCATCGTTAGGGGGGGTAGGTTCGGGATTTCGAGGGTCAAGGTTTCAGTCGGGCCTGTCCCTCTACAGAGGGGAAATTCAAGAATAGTAGAAAAAATAGTCCGGGGACTCTTTCTGGACTATTTCAGAGCATTTGGGGAGCATGTTTTGAGCATTTTCTAATTTGTCGCCCAAAATCCCCCTGCCCAGATCATTGGATACCGATTTTTGTTCGGTCGCGATCGGTAGCGACCGATCGGCACTCCAAATCGGTCGTGACCGATCGCGAATCGGTCGCGACCGGTCGTCACCGATCGCGACCGATTGGTCGCGACCGATCGGTCGCGACCGATTTGAAGCAGACGGTCGCGACCGATACCGAAATTAGAACCAAAATCGGTAGCGACCGTTCTCGTCGGTCGCGACTGGAAAATTCCAGGATCCGATGATCAGGGAGCATGTTTTTTGAGCACTTTATCCGCATTCGCTCAAAATCGCCCCGTATGGGAAATTCAGAAATAGTAAAACATAGTCCGGGGACTACTTCTGGACTGTTTCTGAGCATTTGGGGAGCATGTTTGGAGTATGTTTTGATTTTTCGCCCAAAATCCCCCTGCCCAGATCATTGGATACCGATTTTTGTTCGGTCGCGATCGGTAGCGACCGATCGGCACTCCAAATCGGTCGTGACCGATCGCGAATCGGTCGCGACCGGTCGCCACCGGTCGCGACCGATTGGTCGCGACCGATCGCGACCGATTTGAAGCAGACGGTCGCGACCGATACCGAAATTGGAACCAAAATCGGTGGCGACCGCTCTCGTCGGTCGCGACTGGAAAATTCCAGTATCCGATGATCAGGGTGTCCCTCTACAGAGGGGAAATCTTTGAGCATTCGGGGGGCATGTTTTGAGTGTATTTTCTAATTTGTCGCCCAAAATTCCTCTGCCCAGATCATTGGATACCGATTTTTGTTCGGTCGCGATCGGTAGCGACCGATCAGCACTCCAAATCGGTCGTGACCGATCGCGAATCGGTCGCGACCAGTCGTCACCGATCGCGACCGATTGGTCGCGACCGATCGGTCGCGACCGATTTGAAGCAGACGGTCGCGACCGATACCGAAATTAGAACCAAAATCGGTAGCGACCGTTCTCGTCGGTCGCGACTGGATAATTCCAGGATCCGATGATCAGGGAGCATGTTTTTTGAGCACTTTATCCGCATTCGCTCAAAATCCCCCCGTAGGGGAAATTCAGAAATAGTAAAAAAATAGTCTGGGGACTACTTCTGGACTGTTTCTGAACATTTGGGGAGCATGTTTGGAGTATGTCCTGATGTTTCGCCCAAAATCCCCCTGCCCAGATCATTGGATACCGATTTGTTTCGGTCGCGATCGGTAGCGACCGATCAGCACTCCAAATCGGTCGTGACCGATCGCGAATCGGTCGCGACCGGTCGCCACCGATCGCGACCGATTGGTCGCGACCGATCGGTCGCGACCGATTTGAAGCAGACGGTCGCGACCGATACCGAAATTGGAACCAAAATCGGTAGCGACCGTTCTCGTCGGTCGCGACTGGAAAATTCCAGGATCCGATGATCAGGGAGCATGTTTTTTGAGTGCTTTATCCGTATTCGCTCAAAATCCCCCCGTAGGGGAAATTCAAAAATAGTAAAAAATAGTCCGGGGACTACTTCTGGACTGTTTCTGAGCATTTGGGGAGCATGTTTGGAGTATGCTTTGATTTTTCGCCCAAAATCCCCCTGTCCAGATCATTGGATACAGATTTTTTTCGGTCGCGATCGGTAGCGACCGATCGGCACTCCAAATCGGTCGTGACCGATCACGAATCGGTCGCGACTGGTCGCCACCGATCGCGACCGATTGGTCGCGACCGATCGCGACCGATTTGAAGCAGACGGTCGCGACCGATACCGAAATTGGAATCAAAATCGGTAGCGACCGCTCTCGTCGGTCGCGACTGGAAAATTCCAGTATCCGATGATCAGGGAGCATGTTTTTTGAGTAGTTCATCCGTATTCGCTCAAAATTCCCCCGTAGGGGAAATCCAAGAATAGTAAAACATAGTCCGGGGACTACTTCTGGACTGTTTCTGAGCATTTGGGGAGCATGTTTGGAGTATGTTCTGATGTGTCGCCCAAAATCCCCCTGCCCAGATCATTGGATACCGATTTTTTTCGGTCGCAATCGGTAGCGACCGATCAGCACTCCAAATCGGTCGTGACCGATCGCGATTGGTCGCGACCGGTCGCGACCGATTTGAAGCAGACGGTCGCGACCGATACCGAAATTAGAACCAAAATCGGTAGCGACCGTTCTCGTCGGTCGCGACTGGAAAATTCCAGGATCCGATGATCAGGGAGCATGTTTTTTGAGCACTTTATCCGCATTCGCTCAAAATCCCCCCGTAGGGGAAATTCAGAAATAGTAAAACATAGTCCGGGGACTACTTCTGGACTGTTTCTGAGCATTTGGGGAGCATGTTTGGAGTATGTCCTGATGTTTCGCCCAAAATCCCCCTGCCCAGATCATTGGATACCGATTTTTGTTCGGTCGCGATCGGTAGCGACCGATCGGCACTCCAAATCGGTCGTGACCGATCGCGAATCGGTCGCGACCGGTCGCCACCGATCGCGACCGATTGGTCGCGGTCGATCGCGACCGATTTGAAGCAGACGGTCGCGACCGATACCGAAATTGGAACCAAAATCGGTGGCGACCGCTCTCGTCGGTCGCGACTGGAAAATTCCAGTATCCGATGATCAGGGTGTCCCTCTACAGAGGGGAAATCTTTGAGCATTCGGGGAGCATGTTTTGAGTGTATTTTCTGATTTTTCGCCCAAAATTCCTCTGCCCAGATCATTGGATACCGATTTTTGTTCGGTCGCGATCGGTAGCGACCGATCGGCACTCCAAATCGGTCGTGACCGATCGCGAATCGGTCGCGACCGGTCGCCACCGATCGCGACCGATTGGGCGCGACCGATCTGTCGCGACCGATTTGAAGCAGACGGTCGCGACCGATACCGAAATTGGAACCAAAATCGGTAGCGACCGCTCTTGTCGGTCGCGACCGGAAAATTCCAGTATCCGATGATCAGGGTGTCCCTCTAAAGAGGGGGAAATCAAAAATAGTAAAAAATAGTCCGGGGACTCTTTTTGGACTCTCTTTGAGCATTCGGGGAGCATGTTTTGAGTGTATTTTCTGATTTTTCGCCCAAAATTCCTCTGCCCAGATCATTGGATATTGATTTTTGTTCGGTCGCGATCGGTAGCGACCGATCGGCACTCCAAATCGGTCGTGACCGATCGCGAATCGGTCGCGACCAGTCGCCACCGATCGTGACCGATTGGGCGCGACCGATGGGTCGCGACCGATTTGAAGCAGACGGTCGCGACCGATACAGAAATTGGGACCAAAATCGGTAGCGACCGTTCTCGTCGGTCGCGGCTGGGAAATTCCAGTATCCGATGATCAGGGTGTGGGGGGGACAGGCCCGACCTAAGTCAAGGCTCGAGGCTCTCGGGCGTCCTCGTCGGCCCTCGCTTTTGTCTTCCGGCGCCTCGGCGTGCGCTCCGGCGGCGGCTGCGCCTCGCGGAGGGCACTCCTTTTTAGAGTGGGCCGCATCGCCCCGCGCGGCATCCTCCTCCTCCTCCTCCTCCTCCTCCTCCTCCTCCTCCTCCTCATCATCATCATCATCATCATCATCATCATCATCATCATCCTCCTCTCCCTCCTCCTCCCTCCCTCCCCCTCCTCCTCCTCCTCCTCCTCCTCCTCGTCCTCCTCCTCCTCCTCCTCCTCCTCCTACTCCTAGTCTAACTCCTACTGGGAAGCACCGCCCAGGAGAGGAAAAAACACACACAGACACAACGAATCGCCGACTCCCAGGCAAGTAAAGTGTAGGAAAATATGGGAAGTGGGGGGAAGACAGGAGCCCAGGAACTATGGAGAAACACATGGGGAATCCTTTTCAGAGTGGGCCGCATCGCCCCGCGCGGCCCCAAGGGGCCCGAGGCATGACCCGAAAGCCGAGTGGATTCAGAGCGTGAGTTACCTCCCCCGCTTTGGCTTCCAGGCAAAACCAAGTCACACCACGCGCCTCCTCGTCAAGCGGCCGGAGCAGCGCAGGCCGTCGTTTGGCATCATTCGGTATCTCTTGGAAGCGAGGGTGGTCAAAAGCGAGGTAGGTTTGTTTTCCCCTATGGATGGGCTCCGGGGGGGAAGCACCGCCCAGGAGAGGAAAAAGCACACGCAGAGACGCAACGAATCGCCGACTCCCAGGAGAGTATGGGAAAATAGGGGAAGTGGGGGGAAGACGAGAACCCAGAAGCTATGGAGAAACATATGGGGAGTCCTGTGATCTGTGTCTAGCTATTTGTGCTTCCCAGGGCCCCTTCAACCGACCCTCAGCCGCCCACTTCTGGCCGGCAGGGGCCCGATAACTCATCAGAGCCCAGGGGCGCGCTGTTTCATTACCGGGGGCCGATCGCTGACGTGCAGGCAGTACATGGCCGATTTGGGCTCGATGTTTACGGGTTTCCCCTCTACAGGAGGGATGGTCGAGCATGGTCAGAAAAATAGTCTGGTGACGGGTTGCGCGCTCTTTTGGCTATTCTTGCTTATCGTCTGGATATGTTGCATTGTTCTTCCCACACCCGCCTGCAGGAGGGCATGCCCGACCGAACCCTGTCGCTGCCTATCAACGCCTTTTTCAGCAGCAGCGCGGATCCTGGGAGCGTGACAAGGGTTATGATGTTCCAACCTACTTTAGCCCTGATCGCCAGGAAGAACTTCGAGCACCAAGAAAGCACCGAAACTGGAGGGTCTTCACGTGCCGGGCCCTGGGAGGCGGTGCTCGTGCGACACTGTTTCGATACTTCTCTGGGTGCTTGAAATGATTTATGGGATGTGGTCCGGGAGACGGACCACATCCCGATTCCCTCACGTTCGCCTTCTACAGTATGTAACCTTCTTTTTCAGTGCGCCATCGGCAGGGTTTCATGCAGCCGCTGCGCACAGTGGCAAGGCCAGGCACGAATGGCCTACTTTGTCAAGTGTGCAACTTGTCTCAGACAGGCTGCACACTTTTTGTCATGGCTCCAACGCTGCGCCATGGAAGCAGACAGATCTGGAGCGTGGCCCTGAAGTGCGCTGGGAGCAGCACGAGACAGCGCGGGGACGACCGAGCGGCCCACACGCCTCTTCCCTGGGAGGGCGGCCGAGCCAACACGGGCACGCGCGCTGCCGCCTCGGCGAGCCCGTGGGCTCGTCGCCCCGCAGCCTGTTCCAAGAACGCGTGCTGCTCTTTTTTTTGTTGTACATATATATATATATATAAAAAAAAAAGAGAGAACGCGTGCTGCTCTGGAGCAGGGGATCGGCTGCAGGCCCAGACCCCCCTCGCGTCGTCAAAGAGTCACGACGGGAGGTTTTTGTCGCTGCTCTCGGGCTCTGGAGGCCCTTCCCTGGCCTCGGGGCCGTCGAATGGGTTTACCCCAGAATTGATTTGCTCGTCGAGCGTAGGAAAAAACACGCAGGATGCTCGTACATCACTCCGCGCATGTTTGTCCTAGATCCGACGAGGTAGTTCGTTTTTGGGGGGATGAATCGACTCTGCAGTCGATACCCTACCCTACTCGATGATTCTTCAGCTCGGCGGTTTGTCTTTGACCCTGGTGCTGATTCCCCAGCCTCGGCACCCCCCGCAGGCGGGGGTCGGCGGACAGGTTCGAGGGATTCCTGTCCCCAGGCGGCGGGCTCAAGTTTGCCGATGTGCCGAACGGGCTTGCGGCATGCTCCAAGGTCCCCGCAGCGGGGTGGTTCCAGATCATCCTGTTTTGTGGTTGCTTTGAGGCCGGTTGGGGCTATGACGAATACACGAGGGGTGGCGAGCCTGGGAATTACGGGTGGAAGGTGATCACGTCGGACGACCCTGCTGTGCTCAAGCGTAAGCTGAACGCAGAGCTGGCAAATGGTCGGCTTGCGATGATGGCCATCATCGGCATGTTCTACCAGGACGGTCTCACTGGATCTGCATGGGGCGACTGGGCAAACTATGCGGACTCTCCTTTGCGAGCGTTCGAGAACGAGCTGGGTGTGCAGGCGCCCGTGGGCTACTGGGACCCGCTGGGCTTCGCTGCGGACGGTGATGTGGACGCTTTCAAGCGCCGGCGCGAGGTTGAGCTCAAGCATGGCCGCGTCTGCATGTTCGCCACCATGGGCTACATCGTGCCAGAGTATGTCAAGTTCCCTGGATACCTGTCCCCGTCGGCGAAGATCAGCTTCGATGACGTGCCCAATGGCCTGGGTGCGCTCGGCAAGGTGCCCTTCCTCGGCTGGGCCCAGATCATCTTGTTCTGCGGCCTGATCGACTTCGGCCTCTACAGGGCCGACCCGTCCCGGGACCCCGGCGACTACGAGAACGCAGGCATCCTTGGTGTGCCGAACGCCAGCGGCCCGATGAGCGACGCAGAGGGCAGGAAGAAGAAGCTGAATGCCGAGCTGGCAAATGGTCGTCTGGCCATGGTGGCCATCATGGGCATGATGTTCCAGAACGGCACCGTCGGAAGCGCTGGCCCTGCCATGTGGGCGTTCGGATCCGCCTTCGAGAACGAGCCAGGCGCCCGTGGGCTACTGGGACGCTGCACCGTCGGAAGCGCTGGCCCTGCCATGTGGGCGTTCGGATCCTCCGCCTTCGAGAACGAGCTTGGTGTGCAGGCGCCCGTGGGCTACTGGGACCCGCTGGGCTTCGCTGCGGACGGTGATGTGGACGCTTTCAAGCGCCGGCGCGAGGTTGAGCTCAAGCATGGCCGCGTCTGCATGTTCGCCACCATGGGCTACATCGTGCCAGAGTATGTCAAGTTCCCTGGATACCTGTCCCCGTCGGCGAAGATCAGCTTCGATGACGTGCCCAATGGCCTGGGTGCGCTCGGCAAGGTGCCCTTCCTCGGCTGGGCCCAGATCATCTTGTTCTGCGGCCTGATCGACTTCGGCCTCTACAGGGCCGACCCGTCCCGGGACCCCGGCGACTACGAGAACGCAGGCATCCTTGGTGTCCCGAACGCCAGCGGCCCGATGAGCGACGCTGAGGGCAGGAAGAAGAAGCTGAATGCCGAGCTGGCAAACGGTCGTCTGGCCATGGTGGCCATCATGGGCATGATGTTCCAGAACGGCACCGTCGGAAGCGCTGGCCCTGCCATGTGGGCGTTCGGATCCTCCGCCTTCGAGAACGAGCTGGGAGTGCAGGCGCCCGTGGGCTACTGGGACCCGCTGGGCTTCGCTGCGGACGGTGATGTGGACGCTTTCAAGCGCCGGCGCGAGGTTGAGCTCAAGCATGGCCGCGTCTGCATGTTCGCCACCATGGGCTACATCGTGCCAGAGTATGTCAAGTTCCCTGGATACCTGTCCCCGTCGGCGAAGATCAGCTTCGATGACGTGCCCAATGGCTTGGGTGCGCTCGGCAAGGTGCCCTTCCTCGGCTGGGCCCAGATCATCTTGTTCTGCGGCCTGATCGACTTCGGCCTCTACAGGGCCGACCCGTCCCGGGACCCTGGCGACTACGAGAACGCAGGCATCCTTGGTGTCCCGAACGCCAGCGGCCCGATGAGCGACGCTGAGGGCAGGAAGAAGAAGCTGAATGCCGAGCTGGCAAACGGTCGTCTGGCCATGGTGGCCATCATGGGCATGATGTTCCAGAACGGCACCGTCGGAAGCGCTGGCCCTGCCATGTGGGCGTTCGGATCCTCCGCCTTCGAGAACGAGCTGGGAGTGCAGGCGCCCGTGGGCTACTGGGACCCGCTGGGCTTCGCTGCGGACGGTGATGTGGACGCTTTCAAGCGCCGGCGCGAGGTTGAGCTCAAGCATGGCCGCGTCTGCATGTTCGCCACCATGGGCTACATCGTGCCAGAGTATGTCAAGTTCCCTGGATACCTGTCCCCGTCGGCGAAGATCAGCTTCGATGACGTGCCCAATGGCCTTGGGTGCGCTCGGCAAGGTGCCCTTCCTCGGCTGGGCCCAGATCATCTTGTTCTGCGGCCTGATCGACTTCGGCCTCTACAGGGCCGAGGGCCGACCCGTCCCGGGACCCCGGCGACTACGAGAACGCAGGCATCCTTGGTGTCCCGAACGCCAGCGGCCCGATGAGCGACGCTGAGGGCAGGAAGAAGAAGCTGAATGCCGAGCTGGCAAACGGTCGTCTGGCCATGGTGGCCATCATGGGCATGATGTTCCAGAACGGCACCGTCGGAAGCGCTGGCCCTGCCATGTGGGCGTTCGGATCCTCCGCCTTCGAGAACGAGCTGGGTGTGCAGGCGCCCGTGGGCTACTGGGACCCGCTGGGCTTCGCAGAGGACGGAAATGTGGGGACTGCTTTCAAATAGCCGGCGGCGATGTTGAGCTCAAGGCATGCCGCGTTGCATTGTTCGCAGGACTGGGATACATCGTGCCAGAGAGTGTCAGTTCCTGGATACCTGTCCCCGCGGCGGAAAGAATCAGCTTGATGACGTGGCCCGGTGGACTGGGGGTGCGCTCGGCAAGGTGCCCGTCCTCGGCTGGGCCCAGATCATCTTGTTCTGCGGCCTGATCGACTTCGGCCTCTACAGGGCCGACCCGTCCCGGGACCCCGGCGACTACGAGAACGCAGGCATCCTTGGTGTGCCGAACGCCAGCGGCCCGATGAGCGACGCAGAGGGCAGGAAGAAGAAGCTGAATGCCGAGCTGGCAA